TGGAACTGTTGGAGCTGGTAGATCTGGACCTCATTCTCGTCAAATTGGTTAAGTGTTTATGAATATGTAAGTTGGAATTTTAAAAACCCAGAGCAATAGGTTAAGTAAACAGCCATTGCCTCAGATTAACAAACGTTAAGCCACTATCGGTGTGTGAAATGTTAATTGGTAGCTCTTTTTATCTCATTCTTGTCTGAAGGACTGAATCGCACAGTATCAGAATTGCCGTCTCTCCCCTCCTTCCTCTGGTCCATGGCATTTGAACACTTAGTGAATCCCCCGCCTGCTGCTCTCTTGCCCCGGGGTGAACTTTCATAAGGTAGTTTGAGTGACAAACATCTCAGAGTCTGCTCACATTCCTCTGTGGAATAGTCACTTCTAAGAGAAAGAGGCGTGGCTTTGTGGTCTGGGAATGCTCAGCCAGGGACATGGAGTTCTCTTATTGGAATTAGTTTTGTTTGTTTAGTATCTCTGGCCATGCAGACAAATCGTTGTCAGGACTCAGTTTACTAGGTTTAGAAAGCAGGTTATACAAATGTGCTTTACTGGGATATATTGAGTACTGATGAACAAATTAAATGTTTTGAGATGGAAAATTATATGAGCACAACTGAGTTATTTTTATAAACTAGTTTTATGAAAAACAAATAGAACAGTTTTGTCTTTTGGAAAAATTACCCCCCCCATTTCAACTTCATTGTTAAATGTTTTTATTTTTCTTAAATAAATATTTTCAATGTTAAAGGTTTAAGTTAATATGCTAAGTTTTTTTACATGATGCAAATAATTAAATTCATTATCAGTTGCATTTAAACATAAAGAGGTCGTCTCTTTGTTATTGATGACACAAGAAAATCCTTCTTTGGATTCTGTGAATTGTGAGAATGGAGGCATTATTAACCTTAATGTTTTAGAGACAATATTAGTATAAGAGAAATAAAAAGTCAGCGTAAAGTAGAAACAGAATTTCCTGTTTTAAAATAATGAAGGCCTCCTAGAATAAGATAATTGTGCAAATGTGCCCAAACAAAATAGGATGTATGTGTAGGGATGTAATGATTATCACTGATGGTCTATGTCTGAAAGGATATGGCTTAAATAATTATCCTCAAATGTAAAGGTTCCATTTTGGGTGGCTGAGCTGGTCAGTATTCCCTTATTGAAATTCAAGTTTCCTAAAATTAACCAAGCACTTATAGGGTTTAAAAAACATCTTTCAGAGTGTATCATGATACTCTGTACATTATGAAGCTTTCAATTTCCAATCTCTTCCTTCTTTTCTAAAAAATGAGCACAAGACACTGGATCCTCAACCCTGTGTCTGGGATCTCAAATTTGGCTCTGAATATGTGTTTCAAATCACATTAATTACAATATTGGTCCCAAGAGGTACAGCTGCAAAGAACACTCTTTGTACTCAAAATAATTTGAACAAGGGCAAAGAAGCATTTTATTTACATGTGTAAACATTTAGAGAGGAGTAGCACAGTGATGGCTCAGGTAGCTGCTGAGAGGTTTTAATGATAATTGATTTGATTACTTAAGCTCCAAGGTCACCATATATATAGGCACGTATGCATATAAAAGTCACTTATATTTCTTGGAGTGGTAACTGGCATTCATTTGGCAAGTTCTGAACTAAGACCTTTTAACATTTTATTCTTCCTAGATACTAAGACCAAATTGTTCTGAATCCTATATCCTACTGTGCAGATCTGTAATTTAGTTTTTAAATATCAGAAAGCATGCCATTATCCACAGGACTCTCTAATGTAACAAATATGGGTAAAAACCAACCAGATGAACGAATTACAGCAACAGACAGCAGTGTCTCCAATTTTCCTTCTTCATTTTCTTTTCTCTTTAGGACAACTTAAGGCAGCTGAAATGCTTTGTGGTCCTGTGTTATCAGAACACAGCATAGACAGCCATACATTGTTATCCTGTTAACGACTCTTGGCTTGGAGGTGGAGAATCAAGTGCACTGAAAGGATAACCGAGTGCCTTATAGGAGAAGGGTCATCTGCAATATACCACCACAACCTAGAGCTCTTGCTTTAAGCTTGGACTGCCCATCTGAAGTCAGCAGCCCTACTTATACATAAGGATCATTTGGAAGTGCTTGCTTTCAGCCCCAGGTTGATGCAGTCATTCTGCAAACCAACAAACACAGATAAGAGGATCTCAACACCAGTTTAAGAATGATAGCTCATTGTCTTGTTTTTGTTTTCACAGCACAAAGACCATTTTCGGTTTTCATGGGAACCTTTCCCTTGGTTTAATCTCTGTGTCATTGAAAGAAACCCTTGAGCAAAGTAAAAGTTACCTGGCAACACTCTCTCTCTCTCTCTCTCTCTCTCTCTCTCTCTCTCTCTCTCTCTCTCTCTCTCTCTCTCTCTCTCTCTTGCAAAAAGGATGTGCTATGATCCCCAAATGAGTTACCAAGTAGCAGTATACTTGGCCAAGATGGCCTCCATCTTTTATCCTTGATGTAGATGGTAGCTGCATCTCATTCTATCTCGGGTGCTGGTTCCCAGTCTGACATGGTAGTTTAACTGGTACAAAGTGGAAGAGGGAAGGTCAGGAATGTCGGTCCTGGTGAGGTTAACCACCTTTGGCAGTAAAATGTTTTGACACAGTTGTGGACCTGAAAGTAGTTCAGCGGTTGCCGGAGGTCTCTTCTTGACGGTATCTGAGCAATATCACATATGAAGTGTCGCATGGGTGACAGAGCCTTGAGATGGTAAACATTTTCTGGGGTAAAGCTAGTAGAAGATAATTGGATAACAATTCCACGAGGCTAGCCTCCGAGGTAGTGTTTGTAAACAGTAGCAACTTCACACACATTTGAGGGTTTTGATCAAGTTTTTTTGGAAGAGAGGATTGCTGGCTGGCCCTGTCTCATTTCTTCCAGTTCTTCAGTCCATGAATGTAATGTTCCAAGCACCAAATCGCTGTAGGTTATTAGAACCAGAAGGGAGAACATGCAAGCCATGTCTCAGCCACCACTGTGGGCCATTTGAAACAGAAAGGGAAATTTTAGAGTTTGAAATGGCAAATTATTTCTCTTTGGAAGTAATCTAGTTAAGCCAGTGTCACCTTTTATACTTTATATTACTTCTTTTATTGGGTTAATGATTGTTCCTTCTATTAGAAATGTATATTTTTGAAAACCATGTCTGCCCTCTATTATTTTTGTCAAGCTCATACCTTCTCCATGAACTCTTTTACTATTCTTCTTTCCCTTTTTATACTTCCCCCTTCATTTTCCTTAACAGCCGCGCGGAAGTCCGTTTTCACCCCCCCCCCCCCCCCCCCCCCCCCCCCGCCCTCCCGTCTTTGATTGATGCTGATTGATGCTGGGTTGCCAATCCGTTTTGATTCCCCACCTCTTCCCTACTGACTGCCCTTCCTTAACCTTCTGTTTTATTTCTGTCCCCAGCTATCAGAGCTCACAAACTCCATTTCTCTCCTTTCCATCTCTCTCCGAATCTCCATATGCATTTTTATGATCCTACTGCTAAATGCTTAAAGCTGTGCGCAATAGAAAGGTAGGCTTCCTCATTTGAATGCTATCTCCTTCCCCTTAGCATAACTGTTCCTCCTCCTCCTCTATTCATCCTTTTCTGAGGTTTCCCTTTCCTACCCCAATGGCACCTCTCTTCCCCTGTCACCTCCCATTGGAAGCTCATCTCTTCTCCCAACCCGATTTCCACCCTGTCTGATTTTACAGCCAAGGATCTCCGACAAAATAAAGGATGGAGTCTATCAGAAACCAGGTTGCGTGTGTCTTGAGAAACTTTTGCGCATTCACTGAAATGAGATTAGGGACTTGGATCCAAAAATATTCTCGGGGAGTTTTCAGCTCGGGCACAGCTTTGCACACCTTGAGCTGTGCGGCCTGATCTGCTGGGCAAGTACAGGGACGTCTTTCCGGGCCTTCTCTGCTTCCTTCCAGTCCAGGGGTCAAACTGAAATGACATTGCCCACCCAAACTATTAACACAGGCCGAGGAGAGCCTGCCTGGGCCGCGGGTCTGCGGCAGACCTGAGCCGAGTCCTGCCGAGGAAGGGGCCAAGGCCGTGGGCCGCCGAGGTCCCAGGACTCGGCCCCTTGGCCTCTTTGCGGGGCGCGCTCCCCTCTTAGGAAGGAGGCTGACACCGGGCAGGGTGCTCCCTCGGGACGCAGGGCTCGGCCTCAGAGCCGGCGACACCGCCCGGGCGGGCACCCGGGGCGTGGGGGGGGGGTCCATCGCCTCCCGGGGGGGAGAGGAGGAGAGTCGCTCGGTCCCTGGGTCGGAAGGTCGAGGGTTCCGAGCGGGCGCCCCCCACCCCCAGGCCTGCTGGCCCTCCGGGAGCGGGGCGGGAGGTGGGGGGGGGGCGACACCCCAGAGAGCAGGGATGAGATGCATCGAGGGGCCCGGCGCGGGGTGTCAGGCCGCAGAGGAGCGGGGGAGCAGCCTGCAGGGGTCCCCCCCCCGGGGGGCTGGGGCCGTGGGGTCGGGTCTGCCTGTGGACCCGCCGGGCGCCCCGAAGTCTGGGGCCGCGGCGGCGACTCCGGTTCCGCAGCCGCCGCTGCCAGGCACTCCAGGCCGCACTTTCCCCTCCTCCCCGCGCCTTCTCTCCAGTGAGGAGCCGGGCGCGGGCGGCGCGGGGGGCGGGGCGGCGGCGGAGGGAACAGCCAGTTGTTTAAAATCCTTCTAGAGCAGTTTCTAATTCCCCCCTAGCGCCCGGGTTCGGAGGGGGAGGGGGGGAAGGAGAGCGGGAGGGTTGGAGGGGTGGGGGGAGCGCGGCGGCGAGGGAAGGAGGGAGGGCGGGAGCCGGGCGAGGGAGGGAAGGAGGGAGGAGACTGCCGCTAAGGCCGAGCCGCCGCCGCCGCCGCGCGCTCCGGCAGGCCGGAGGGGAGGGGAGGCCTGTCAGTCTCGCGCGTTGCCAGGGCGAGGAGGGCGGAGCTCTGGCGTGGGGCGGCCAATGGGTGGGGGTGGCTGCGTGGGTCGCCATGGGGACGGGGCTGTTCCCGGGGAGGCTGTGATGGGTTGACAGGTGCGTGACAGTGGGAGCTGCTCTCGGCACAAGCATGTACGGCAAAGGCAAGAGTAACAGCAGCGCCGTCCCGTCCGACAGCCAGGCCCGGGAGAAGTGAGTGTCTCCGCGCCGCAGCCAACCTCCCGCCGCCGCACGCGCGCACACTCGCGCACGCACTCTCCGGGAACCGCAGCCCCACGGCCGCCCCGCCTGGGGTGGTGGTGGTGGTGGTGGTGTGTGTGTGTGTGTGTGTGTATGTGTGTGTGTCGGGGGGGAGGTGGGTTGCCGGGGAGAGGTGCGGGGCGGGTGGTGCGCGGCTCGGGGGGGGGGGGAGCGGCCGCCTCCTCCACGGGGAGCCCCCCGGCGGGTGGCCACGCGCGGGCGGCGGGAGGGACGCGCGTGGCGGGATGGGGGCGGCGGCGGGGATGGAAACTTGTTTGGGTGGTTGAGGGGGAACCCCCCGCGGCTTCACCTCCTCGCAAAGTAACTTTGGAGCTGTGGTCCAGGACGGCCGGGGCCGCCGCGCGCGGCGGGCCGGGGGGTGGGGTGGGGGGAAGCCGCCGGGCTGCTTGGGGTCCGGCGGGGCCGCGGCGGGGAGCCCCCCCCCCCCCCCGAGAGCGTCGGGGGAAGAGGAGAGGGCGGCGGGCCGGGCGCACGGCGGGCGGAAGCGGGGCCCCGCGGGGCCGCGGAGGGCAAGTGCGGGCGTGGACGCCGGGCGGGCTCAGGGACGCGGGGTCCGCGGGGTTCTCCCGGCGCAGGCTGGGCGGGCGGGCGAGCGGGCGATCGGGCGGGCCCGGGGCGGCGGGGCAAGTTTGGGAGTGGGAGCGCCGAGTTCCCGGAGGGAGAAAGTGTGCTGGCCCGCGCGGGGTCGGCCGCGGGAGCTTGGCGCTCCCTGCCTCTCGCGGCACACCGCCTCGGCGGCGGCGGCGGCGGCGGCCCCAGAACTTTTTGAGACTTGCCGTGTCCCCCGGGGGCGCTGGCCGCGGGCGCGGAGGGCAGGTCCCGGGGGCCGTGGCGGCGCCGCCGCCGCCGCCGCCGCCGCGAGGAGGGCCGGCCCGCGGCGTGGACGGGAGAGGGGGGCTGCGGCAGAGATGCTGGGAGCCAGCCGCTTGGCTGGGTCGTGGGAGATACAGGTGGTAACTTCGGTGGGAGCCGGGAGGACGCCGGGGAGCCCGGGTGGCCGCGGCCGCGGGCACGCTGCGAAGCAGGCTTGTTGGCGGCTCTTCTTGTGTACTTGTTACGGCGATTTGGTTGTTACTAAAATGAGAGCGAATAGTGGCTGTGACACTGAGGAAGAGCCCCCCCCCCCCCCCCCCACTTTCCCTATGTGCAGATGTTCAGACTGATTCCCTGTAACTGGGTCTGCTCGGAGGGTCAGGCTTATCCTTGTCATTGAATACACCGTCTTATGGAGGGGGTGTAGGCTGGGGGAAAGCTAGTCTTTCTCAGGTATTTGGGGTCCCTTGCATACAAAAATAGCTTCGTAAATAAAGATCTAACGTGTAGGCTACCGAGTTTCCCTCCTTGCTGAAGGTAGGCAGGCTTACCCATGGAAGTTTGTTGTGCCCTAGGGATGGGAACATTTTCTAATCTTCGTGTTGGCAGCAATACACACAATTCCCATAGGATTGAGAGGTGGCAGGCCTTGATGTAGGAAAACAAAACACAACAAAAAAAATTAATGGAGAGATGCTATTGGTCCCTCCACCCCTGATATTTTTAAGATCTTGCTGTGACAAGGAATGTATAAAATACATGGTGTTATTGCCTGGTTAAGAAACTGCAGTTTACTGGACTTGGAGTTCTAAAATACTAGTTTGTGCTTATTAATCATTTATTTGGCTGGAATATATCTGATACAAACATCTGAAGGAGGATGCTTTAGTGGTAAAGTACCTGGATTTCACATTATGAGGAGTGAAGGACTTGTGATGTATTGAAAACATAATCTTACTGGGGCGTTAGTATTAATTTTGGTATTAAAGTAACTCGGGTTTTAGCTGGACTCCCAGGATTGGCTGATATGCAGCTGAGTCGATTCTATAGTCTCATGATTAAAAAAAAAAAACAAAGCAAAAAATAAAATTGTTTTCTAGTGCTGAGACAACAAGGAAGTTAGACTTGGTATGTTTGGACCTCGCCAGTGCCAGTTCTGTGATCTGTCAGAAAAACAAGTAATTGCCATTCTTGTTCTCAGATGGCCAGACTGAATACCAAGAAACGTCAACTCTTAGGAGCAAAGTAATGAGGCTCTGCTAGATGGTGCTGTTTGATTTAAATATATTTCTTCATTTATTACAATTGGCAATAGGAATTCTTAACTGGCTTTGCCTTATGGACTAGATAGCTGAAGAGGCCACCTTTGGAGAATTGACAGTGGCTGTTCTGGGCGTTTCTGCGTTCATCTCTAGCAGATCTAAGACAAACGTTGAAGAACATCCCATTTTCATAGAATAAATATCATTTTGATGGGAGAGCTGATCTGATCACTATTGTCTCTGTGTGTTTACTGATTCTAGAAGATAGGAAACTTGAAGTTGTGGTTAAAGGTATGGCAACAGACTTTTGTTTTTAATTTTTTAAGGTAGTAGATTTTAAGAGGTAACTGAGGAACGAAAAATTCTCTAGTAAGCAACTTAAGACTGTTCCAGTCCTAAACATCACAAATAATTTATATTTCAGTAATAACTACCTGTGTATTTTTATAAAACTCCTGAAAAATTGAGTTGTGAATAATGGCAAACATGAAGTAAACATATTAGCTGTATAATTAAGAATTGTTTTCTCACACAGCTTAATAATGGAGAGCCGAGAAGCACTTACCTGTATCAAGTCTGCTTTCTCTTGCTTCTTTTATATAGAAGCCACTATATAAAATACTTGAAATTATTTTGTGACTTGTATGGTTTCCAAAATTTGTTTTCTGGTTCTGATCATAAAATTGGCTAGGGTCAGGTTAATTGTGTATTTTGTTGTTTTACCAAACAAACAGATCAAGCCTACTCAAAGGTTTCAGTAGGTTTAATTAGAGAGAATGATTGAACAACCCTGGAGGAAGATGGGATGTTTGCATAGAAATTTTAATTCTGATCCTGTTAGATTATTGCCACTGGCTTTAGTACTTTCCTTGTAGCACTGTCCAAAATGATAATTAAATAATTGTGTAATTAGTTTATATTTCGCTTTCCCTGTAATGTACAATAGTTTTTAATTTCTTCTCTAAGCTGTCTTTGGCATTAAGAACCCTGTCTTCTGATACTTTAAGCACCAATTTCTTGCTGATGAATAAATATATCAGACTTAAAGGAATCTTTCCAATGGGAAGAGTTTTCACTGTAAGGCCATACAAGGTTGAGTTCCATAGTCTTTAACTTCGTTTTTTTTTTTCAAAAATACCCTCAAACAAGAATCCAACACAAGTATCTGTTGCTTTTTGCCATTGTGTGTGTGCCATCACACAATGTTGAGAGTTTCATGATGTTTATTTTCTCTTTATTCACATTTCTTCTTGTTCTTCCAATAATTCTGATATATAGGCAGTTTTTCCCTCCTCCACTGAAGTAAAGAGACAGAATCCCCTGTCTGATTAAGTAACTATCCAGGGATAAGATACTGAAAATCGGGAAGTTGTGTTTGGAACAAAGATTTCTCCAACTTTGGCACTCGTTACTGAAACTGAAAGACACACATTCGGTGACCAGGTTACCTTCACTGTCTGGGAGGGTGTCTCCGATTTAGGAGACAGTGTTACATAATCAGAAGAGAGTCAAGATTTGGTCAGCCGTGCGGGCTTCCAGTGCTGTACCCCTGTGCTCAGAACTGTCCAGGTTGGCAGGTCGCAGATGTGTGTGTGCGGTATGGGAGAATGCACAGAAAATTTCGGGTGGAAGTTGGAAAACCTAAATAAAGAAGAATCCTTTTTCCTTCAGATTTTCTTTCCAGAAATTTTGTTTGATCACTGACAATTTTAAAATAAATATAGTAGTTGTGAGCAGTTTCTATATGAAATGTGTTTGACTTTAAACCACCCTACCAAGGAAAATAGTGATGAACTTATACTGATACTACTTTTGTTTTGTTTTGTTTTTTGAGGTAGGGTCTCATGTAGCCCAGCTTAGCCTCAAACTCCCTATATAGCAAGGATGACCTTGAACTTCTTACCCTCCTGCCTCCACCTCATAAATACTGGAATTATAGGTGTGTACTACCACACCCGTTTTTATGTGGCCTCGGGGTTGAACCCAAGGCTAGGCAGGCAATCTACCAGCTGAGCTACATCCTCAACTCCTAATTTGTTAACATTATCTTATGGTACTGACGGAAGAATTTGCTGGGGATTGAAGATGGACCCGGCAGGTGAAAAGTAAACAGTGACACTGGCAAAGTATTTACCAAAGAGAAATTAAATTATAACATGGGACACTTAAAGGTAACTTCCATGTTTAGATGTTGGTTCTTATAGTTGAAAATTCCAGAAAAAATTTACTATATGCTGCTTTTAAGTGGCTACAATATGAAGAACATTTAAATGCTCCTGAGTATGAGTTTTTAGGGATTAGTATCTGCTGCCTGTTACCTTATCCTCTCTTTGATCATTAAAACATCCCTACCAAGCAAAAATTACAAGTCTTCATTTTGTTTAATTTTTTCTGAAGAAAATTAGGCAGGTGAAGTAATGCAGATCTCTTTAGAAACTTGTTTGATGAACAGTTGATACAATTTAAGATTTCTAGTTTATGTCTTTTGAGGAGGTGCTGGGGGTCAAATTTATGGCCTTGTGCAGGCAAAGTACACACACTCTCCACTGGTGACATCCCAACCCACAGGATTTCTAGGACCAATGAGAGATCTTTATGGAACAAAAGATACCGACTCTCCTTCCAGTTTCCAGGATGTTTCCTCTAAAATACTGAGTAATTTGGATCTGAAATGTAATCTTAGCTGGGAGAACTTTTTTGATTGATATCTTTTATTTTAGGAAAAGAATAAAATCCTCCCTGTCCCCCGAATTTTAAAGGAATGACTCTTAAGAAAGAAGTTGATAGTCAGTTACAAGATCTCATATAAACTCTGGCTGACTTGGAACTCACTCTGTAGACCACCTGACCTCAAAG